GCAATTTTTTATTTCGTTCCGGCCAGCATCATGGCAAAATTTAATTAGTTAATATTGATTAATGAGTGAATGTACAAACAAAACTTTTGTTAGTACAATCATGTACTAACGATGTACAATCGAGTGCATAAGGTCGTTTTTCTAATTAGTGACCCATGTTGGCTAAGTACCTGGGGGTCATCCGGGCCTTAATGTCATTGAAAACATGGATATAATGGGAGCGTCGTACGATGCGATGTCGTACTTTGTAGCCCTCTCAATGTGAAAATTAAAAATACTTTTCAGTGCCCTGAATTTTTACTGTTACTATTTTCTATGCTCCCGGATTGGTTACTTATAACTATTGCTAGTGCTTTACTCCCTTTCATTCCCCCAAGATGTTTAAGGATGGAAACAAGAAAAAGTAATAAGAGAAATAAGCTATATGTAAAAGACAGTTAAGCTTCTTGGCGAGTTGGAAAGCCGTTGGCCATGGTGAAATTGTATTCTTTGTGTTACATACAAACCATCTAAACCCACGAATTTTTTCTATTTTATCACACCACAATTAGATGTTTATATGAATCCGTGAGAAACGATGAGTGAATGAAACAAGTTTACTGATCGATTAACAACCTGGAGTAGTACGAATGCCAAGGAAGTAGTGGTGTCATTGATTCCGTCGAAGTGTCAATAGGAAATTGAGAAAAAAGTTGGAATAACTGCAAAAAAAGTAAAAAGTACGCAAATCACGTCGCATTTGCATGTATGCTGCTATTCCAATGCACAACTGGTATTCTCTTAGTATAGTAGGGAGGCCATGAAAAAAAAGACATACATATAAGAAACTGAAACCGAGATTTGAGTGATGTGAGAGGGAACAGGGTAAGTGCGGAATTTCCAACACATCCCAGTGTTTTCCTCTTCGTACTTACTCCAAACGTTCTTCATATTATTTATTCAAATGTCGTACTTAAAACTGATTTGTTCATTGGACCCTATATATCCCAACTAACCGCAATCATCGGTAGCCCAGTCTTCTTCATTTTGATACCTTTACAATAACTCTATAACTCCGGAAAATCTGATGATCAGAATGATTAATTGTCACATATCGACTGGATCTATTGTACGTACATTGATTTATATTTGAGAAGAGCAGATTCCTCTCCTACAGTTTCCTATAAATCTCTTTCACTTTTATGATTGCAGGATCTTGTGGACAACTTGAATCGCCACATGAAAGAGAAGTCTTTTATGTTTTTGTTCATGCTCTCAGCATGAGTGGATTCATTTATTTCTTCTTTTTCTTGACATTTTAATTCAATACGATCTCAATGGAAAAACATGAGATATTAACGCACATTGATTATTAGAAATTCCGTCAATAGAGACTTGTATTGTACGACTGATTTACAGGTTTTTTTTCTATGACTTCAAAGTGATGCCTGTCCATCAGATCAATGTTAATCCGCTTGATTGGCAGCCACCACAATCACTTGGTCCTTCTAATAATACAAGTCCAACGGGAGGAGAAATTTTATCAGAATGGTCCCCACGGGTGAGACAATCTATTGACTTTCCTCCTTATCTATAAAGGTTACTAGGAAATGGAGCTTACCATCCACTCTTTTTGTTGCGACCTATGTATTTCTAGAAATTTATATTTATGATGATATCGAGGCCCACATGTACTATCTATCGAACGTGTTTTTTTTGCTTAAATCCTATCTCGTTAGCCTAACACATATTACAATTTGGGATCAAGTTTGTTTACAGAAAAAATGATAAAAATACACAACTTACTATTACACCTAGGTGTCACAAAAACCAGTGGAAACATAGTAAGCTGGGTTAAAAAATTTGTTTTTTTGCAAACTTGGTAGATCTCTTTCAATCAATATCCCGATCAGGTTTTTTTTTAATTCCTCTAAAACTATTGTATCTGTAAAACTATCCAATATCTCATGAACCACTCAACGCATTCCACTCTGTTTTTTGTCAAATACTCGTTTCAATAGGTACTATATCGATCATTAAAAATACGTATACCTGATATTGCCATTTTTCCGTTTTTTAAAGTATTGTCAGTATTTTGATCTGATAATAACTTGATCAAGCATTGAGATAGCAATTTGGTATGATCATAGCTTTTATGATATTAAAGGATTATACATCGGATAGGTGCAATCGGTCAAGTGGTAATTAGAAAATTATTTTTTTTGTAAAAGTTCATGCTATACTCATCGGTTAAATTCATCGTTCTAAATACTCTAGTGGAGGCCAGTAACAGCAATAATATAAGCAGTCATATGGTAAAGTCATTAAAAAAATTAAATAAACATATGGGTGTATTAAGTCATCGAGAAGTGTTTTTCAAATGAAATTAATCTGGGGATGTTAAAATTTAAAAAAGGATAGAAATACTCGAGGTATTTGATACATAGCTGGAAAATCACAAGGTTCAAACATCGGTTAATGGATATCTCTGCAATGAATGATGTTTTTTTTTTAAGGTCCACGGTAAATGTCTAGTTCAGGTCCACCAAACCATTCTGGATGTTTTTTATTTGGTTGGATGAGTTTCCGTCACCTGATTAAGTATCTGGTCACCTTTTTATCCGGAAACAATTAGTGTGGGAGATATGATATTTAATACACAGTTCTCTGCGTTATCCAGGGCCACGGCGAGAACGTGGCGGTGTGTCGGCCCCAAGGACACCACATGTTAGCACATTTAAAGACAATGGCCACACAGAAAGATGAATTTATCTAATAGTGCTGAGCACTTCACTTAAACTCTGAATTCACCTCTCCTGACCATCTACCATCGCTGAACGAACACAACGAGTGACTTATCTGCCGCTACTTTTCTGTAGCTATTCAAATTATTGAATTATATATCACTCAGTCGTCGCGGCAACAGCGATAGCAGAGGGAACCCCCCTTTCCCCCCCCCTTTAGGAATTTCAGGAGCGACAGAGTTTACCTCAGGTTGATGGACCTGAACCATATATTTACCTTCAGGTTATGCTCTTCAATAATTTTCCGTGTACTTTTCGGTTACCGGTACTATTTCGTAAAATTGAATGAATTTTTTCGCCCACGTTGAACCTCGTGGGTTCATCTTCAATCTTTTCAGTGGCAATTCGTTTTTATTCCTTCAATGAATTTATGCAGAGAACATATATTAAGAAAGAAATTGACTGTAATGGTTTTTTTCCATTACTTAGGAACCTGCATATGCAACAGTTGTCACTGTTATACCCAACCACTGTCACTCTTCCGTCAGCACTTTGTCATCTAGTAATCATGACATTTGTCGGTAAGTCAAAAAATTTTAATGGAAAATTTTGAAATTTGAAATCTGAATTTTTTATTTGAAATTTGAAATTAGATAACTGTTACAAAATATTGCCGTACTTTAAAAATTTGAACTCGCCAAATTTCAAGGGACGGAAATGTTTTGTCAGAATTTTCCACTTTCACAGGCAGTTTACACATATGTTTTCTCGAGGCACACATCAAGCACAATTCAGATCTTCAATTTTAAGTTTCCACGATAGAATTTAGAATTTTTTATTTCAAATATCAAATGTCGAGTATAAAATTTAGAATTAAAATTTAGAATTTTTTAGTTCCAAATCTTGAAACCAATCGGAACTTTATATATGCGTCTCTTAAAGAGACATGGAAAGCAAATGTGTAATTTAAAATTGAAAATGTTTCAATTAAAGGTCCGGGTAAACCATCTATTTAACATCATCTTTTGTGTAAATTGTATCTTTTTAGCTTAAGGCCCGGGTGAATCTATCGAATGTCATCTTTTGATTAATTTTTTTCTTTTTAGCCTAAAATGCATTAAAATTTGGAATCAAATTTATATTGCAGGAGCTAATCGAATAGGTATAAAAAAATAAGGAAAAAAGAGAGGAAAAATGATTGAAGGGCGCTAAA